GTCGAAGGCCTTCCGGAAATCAACGTAGGCCACATGTACGGTTTCTTTTACATCAATTGCCCTTGTCCAGCCTTGCATCGTGTAAAGCAATTTTGTAACGCATGACCTATCCCTACGAAAGCCATATTGCGCATTGGACAAGATATTTTGAGTTTCACAATGCATACCTTCTTGATGATCTTCTCCATTACTTTGCAGCATATGGAGGTCAGACTCACAGGTCTGTTATTGTTCACGACTGCACGAAAGCGGTGTATCGTGCGCTGTTTGTCAATCTGGAGGAAGGATTTCAGTATTGAACGACTTCTGGTACATCAGAGAAAGTGTTTCAGTCAGTTCTCTATCTGGTTCACGGAACAGTTTCGTGGAAATTTCATCTGGATCGGGAGATATACATTCCTTCAAGCTTTTTAGTTCTTGAAAAATCGTCTCTTCTCCAAACAAAATATGCTCAATATTAAGTGCACTCTCGATCTCGTCACTGGTTGTGGCGAAGGCAGTTTCTGCGGTGAAAACCAACAGAAAGAACTGAGAAAAATGTTCGGCTTCGTTTCCACGGTCGGAAATTTCGAGACCATCATTTTTCATAACAGGAATCGGGTTCCTGTTAAGTGTGATTTTCTTTAAGTAGTTGTATAGCAACTTAGGATTTTTGACTGTTCGATGAAGTTAATCACTCTCAAAGTCCCACCGTCTTTTAAAAACCAACTTTTTTACCTTTTTGCGCTGGTATTTGTATTCTTCAAACGCTTCGTTATGGCTTGTTCTGCAAAACTTCTTCAAAAGCTTTCCTTTCTCATTGATTTCTCCCTTTTTAGAGCTTACGTCAGCCACTGACATCGGCCAGATATCTTGGGCACTGAAAGTGGACAATGACTTTTCATTAAATGCAACAACTGCTCTTTAAATATACTCCAGTCCTCAGTGACATCCCCGGAGAAAAGAAGACCCCAGTCTATTTGCGATGCAGCTGCCCTCACTTGAGAGAAGTCGCCTCGCCATATATTCAGCCTTGGCTCGTCTATTGTAAGAGGTAACGAATATAGACCATAATCCCACGAAAGTACAGCGTGATCACTTCGACCAAGTGGAGATAGACAGCATACGTGGTCTATACTGTCAGGACGCCTGGTGAAGACTATGTCTAAACAACTAGTCTGTTACCTTCCACGTGCTCTAGTGGGAACGAGGACATTTTGTGTGAGAAGAGCCTCGAGGGTCCTTTTTGAAAGATGGTGATCGAAGACTTTTCTAGAGCGATTCGCCCGCAAATCGTTTCAGCTGATGCTATGTACATTGAAGTCACCCATGAGTACAACATCGGATCGACTACCTATCTCGTTTATGCACTCCAGTAAACACGCATATGCATCAGTGTCTGTCTGCGGTGGTCGGTAGACGGCCACAGCTTCCAGAGGCTGCGGCCCCCATGTCTTCATTGTCAGCCAAATAGCCTCCATACCATGGATAAGCCATTTAGTCCTCTCGCACACACTTAAGTCGCCCTTAACATAAATAGCAAATCCTCCACCGTGGCGTGCCACCCGGTCTCGTCTAAATAATTGGTATCCGGATAGCGTTACTTCGATATCGCTGATGCTGTGTGACAGCCATGTTTCTGTTATTGATATAACATCAGGGGACACATCGGCTATCTGTATTTGAAGTTCACCGAACTTCGAGAATAGACTCTGAGCGTTGGTATACAGACATTTTATTCGGTGGCACTCCGCAGTGTCTAGTTCGTTTGGGCGCGAGTTTTCTAATACTACTTTGCCTCAATCGTCAAAAGTATTGGCTGCTTCCAGAATAATATGGTGGTTTTCTGTATTATTTATTCGCTGAAGATAGCCAGATTGCTCTCTCCAGCTGTTAATCTCCCTTTCAGTTCCGCCGCCAAGTCTCGGCGCTTCAAATGCTCCGTTGGAGAATATTTCGGCTGAAAAAACCGTCTTATTTGAATGGTGGAGGGCTGTTTTTCGGAACAGGACCAAATTCACTTCTTCTTTGTTATCCAATACTATCTTGATAAGTCTAGTTTGGATAGTTTCCGACTGTTCATTAACCTTTTTACCTATTCTGAAGGTTGCAAAAATTTTCACTGTCGCTCTTTGTCGGAAAATGTCTCTTAGCAGATCCCGAAACTTTTTAACGTTCGCTTCAGTCCTTTCGTTTGGAGTAGGTACATTTTACTTAGGTAAACCTTGAACACCTTTTCAGTTTTCGCGGTCAAGGGAAACCCTTAAGATATCTCCAGCCTTACTACCATATGCAGAGGGATTCATAGGGATGGCTTGTGGTATCGTGGTTCCCTTGTTGTGTTTGCTGCTCCCCTCTTGGCATGAATTATTTTCTGCAGATTCTAACACAGGCTAGTGGGAACTGAGAGCATGAGAAGGAGCATTTGGTGCGGTTGAACCCTGAACAAGTGAGCCGTTCTGTAAGGCAAGAGGCTGCTATTCAACACCGTTGGATTCTATAGAGCAAGAAGGATGACCGGTGGTACAGTCTTTCTCCGACATCTGCTCCCTGGCAGTAGGGTTTCCTTCAGACTGCTTAGGAACCTTATCTTTTTTATTTTTCTTAACTTCTCCCTGTGATTTGGGAGCTCGGTGCCTGTTTGAACTACATTCTTCACTTCTTTCCTTTCAGCCTCAAGATGCTGGGCTCACTCCAGTAAGTTTAAGCAGCCTCCACACTGCTCATCTTTGTACCTAACGGTTCTTTGAGCAATTAATTTTTTTGCTCGCTTAGCAGGAGGAGAACGACTGCCTCTAGATGGGGCACTGTGTCTGGTCGAAGTAAGATTGAGAGAGTACTCCTTGCCCATAACTATTTTTATATGTTCAAAATGGTATATTCGCCTTTGCAACTTTGACGTAATGTTGAATGATATTCAAAATAACCAAAATCTTCCGACAGTGTGAATTATTGCAAATATTTGAGGCCGACTAATTAAACAATACGCTTTATTGCTTAGAAGCACTTTCAAATATGTATAAACAATATGCAGGATATTCAGGAACGACTCAGCAGTTTGTAGACCTTCGAAGTCCTGAACCACTGCCGATCTTAAAGAATGGTTGATGTCCTTGCCGCTGTTTCTTTTTTCAGACTGTTTTCAGTTTTTTTTGGTTGTAGGCTGCATATTCAGTTCGATGAGTTGAGAAACAAATTCCACTTCGATTTGGTCTTCTGATGAGTTACGACACTATAACAAAGTTCACGTCGTGCAGGAAGTAATTTTGCACGTAAAATTGAATCGGTAATATCCGAATCAGTACTGGCGAGATGGTATCGGAATCTAAATAGTCCACCTTTGAGAACAGAAAATACAGTTGCGTCCAGTCGGGCTCAAGGGTGTCGATGACATTAGCTGAGTATGGGTGAAACGACAGAACCGGTTCAAATTCTGCCGTAAGATATTTTGCCAAGAAAGCACAAAAATTCAGCCTTGGCGAACTAAGATATTATCTACATCTGGTAACGGAAGAAGTTGATGACCTCTTTTAGAGGAGGACTGACAACAAGATGGTTGAGCAACAGATTTTGTAGAGTTTAGATCGCTGAACGAATAAGCTTCTCTTTGTTTGCCACGTGCATTATGGGGGCTCATTTTAAAATCGATGCGATATGTAGATGCACAGATAATGAACTAGTAGTTCAATCTTTCAACTTCCATTTCAATTTCTTTAGTCTTAGCAAAATAATGCGAGGATCGATAGATTCTGAAGCTAAGGGTTTAGGCACTTTATTTGAAACAGCGAACATTAAGTCAGGTAAACTTGCTGTGCCGTTCACGGAGGAGGTATGCTGCCAATCATATGAGTTAAACAAGTCATTAATTAGGCGAATATCTCCGTGGTCAAGTGCATGTTAGGTACGAATGGTGCTAGCCTTTTCGAAGAGACAAGCGGAAGTCAACCCTGAATTAATGGTCACCTTTGACGTGGCCCTGTTTAAAGGCAACGGATAGGGAAACAATGCCGTTTGTGAAAATCAGATCAAAAATATTATTATTTCTCGCTGAAAGGCGGACCAACTGAGACCAGCTTGAAAGATTAACGGCATCTAGGATGGACTTTAATCTACGTGGACAAAAATGTGAAGGCCAATCAATTTCATTAAAGCTTAAATCCCCGGCGATAATATAACCGTGGAAAGCCGACTCTGAAATTAAGCTAAAACATTTCAAAAAGTTTTTTTCCCGTCTTCGGGTGCCGAGTTGAGGGATTATATGTGCATCGGAAAATCGCCATCTTTTCGTGCGACAGGATAATTAATGCGAAGCAGTAATTACCAGAGTACGGTATGGTATGTAGATCGAACGGGAACTGTATAAAAGAAGTTTTAATATAGAGATGATCACCACCA